TCGCGAATGTCCTGAAACTGTAACGCGCCGCTCCAGGGTAGGCGTCATCACGTATGCCTGGATCACTACACTTCGTCATCACCTGACGTGCATTTAAGTGGCATATGGTACTAGGATCCTGGATTCGAGTTTCCGACAAGCAGCAGATATCAATCTCCAAATAGTCCATTATACGTGTTGCGAACACATCCTTCCGAACCCACCCTTTCCCGACCACACATCAAAAACAATCACAAAAGACGAGTCACACATGAACAATGAAGCACATTTTAATTTTAATTTGACGATATAAGTGTATTGGCCAGAAGAAGAAGTTGTAAAACACGAGCTTGTTTGATAAATAAATCGCTGTTTNNCTGTTTTCTCCGCATGCAAAAATGGAAATTTTCCATGAATACATTGTAATCGGATGCATAGAGTGTAATTCTTGGAAAATTCAGGCCGCTTATCAACTTGCGACGGAAACCGATAAGCAGAGTCGACGTAGAAACACAAATCATTTTATTCTACAAACAATTTTTTAAAGGTTTTTTTATGCCTATGAAAGATAACAATCAAATTTCATGCAGCGAAAGAGAGAGAATATTAAATATCTTGTTACACCAAAATCACCGGTGCAAATGTTTTGGCGCATTTGGAACTGTAAATCAGCAGTATCAGTCACAAAGTAGAAAATATGGAGGAAGACAAGGACTGATTTTGGTTCGAAAATCGCATAAGCATCACAATCCGGGGGTTGAAACAATACGTCACATTCGAAAGAAATTAGCCAGGAGCACCGGTTGCAATCGGCAACACCTTCCGACAGCAAGGACACGAGTCCTGTATTACAACCTGTTCCGGTCTGAAAGAATGCACCTTGCCATCACACGATATTCGTTTTGGTGTTCTGTACGCCGATTCTATCAGACCAATTTTTCCAACAATTTTCAAGTGCGGGTTCTTTTGCATATGTTCTCCAAGAGCATAAAAGAATTTCTGAGCCGCACACGGTCTGTTATACTGCTCTTCACGAAATTTACGTTCGTAGACATCAAAAATTGGTTTATTTACTATTTTATCTACGTGTATAAATTCAAAATTTTTGTTTTTGTATTTAAACACTCGACTTATTACATCTTTCGGTTCATCTGTTTTCGGAGGATTATTTTTCATTTGAATTTCAGATTTTTGTGGAAACGTTCTGAGGTACCGATGCTCTACAGGATTCGGATCAGAACCGGATACTGTCATCACTCGAAAATAGGAGCCGTCGTTGAATTTCACCTCCATCACACCCATCATTAACATTTCTTTGTCCATGAACTCCGGTGAAACATGTTGGTGTTTTATATGAGTCAATTTTGAAGATAATCGTTTTTTCGCAAATTCTTCTGACCGCAAAAACTCCTTGTTCAGTTCATTCCTCAGCTCGGCGATGATTGGTATCAATTCGTGATTGGCCTGAATTCTGGACAAATGTGAAGGATAGTTGGGCTCTTGAAGCGGTCTCGATTGGAATCCACCGAGGAGTAACTTGCGTGGTTTGTATTTCTCCAACAATGAATAGTCATGTGCCTGATTTGCAACCAGTGCCAAATTGTTCGACATTCCCTCGACAGTGCTTTTCCGAAGTGTGTCGGGATCGTATCCGATCTGATGTGCTATAACGTCAAACAGACAATTGTTTCGTTGCGTTGATTTGATACCTGGTTCATGACCTCCAGGTAATGACCAATGCTCATTTTTACTATCGTACTGAACAACGATGGGTTCTGCGTCTGTTTTACCGCGAATATTTTGCAACAATTTTCCATTTTCATCCAACACCGTGATTGGCTTTCCAATGATATCAGTAATGTGTGTGAGATGGATGATACCTGCCTTCCCGTTGTTTCGCAAGTCATCAATGATTTGTTGCGCTTTTTGGATTGCTTCAGGATCTTTAAAGCCCTCTCTTTGCTTACGTTCCAAACGACGCCACTTTTTCGGATTGACCGCAAACGTTATTCGCCTCTGAGCTTGGAATAAATTTACTTCTTTGTTTATTTTTTCGTTACACGAGTGGAAAACCGAGACCACAGTTTTATCCACACCATACTGAGCTAAAGGTTTGCAGATACCGTCTCTCAGAATGCTACACTTTATACTGAGCAAGTGATTTGTAAGAATTTGACGTATATTCTTGATGGCTCGGTCCATTGAATTCTTTGTTCCGATTGCATCAGCAGAAACGGAATTTGGTTCTTCGGAATCAGTTGGTTTGTTGCTTTTGGATGCGTCCAAAGCATCTTGGTGTAACTTCTTTACAATATCCAGCAATTTTATTGTGACAGATTCGTTAAATGTTAATAATTCATCTGTTTTCCGCAGGATTTCACTCACTAACAGCTGCTCTTTGAGGTATTTGATTTTAGCTTCAGCCACGCCTCTAGCAATCCCCTCAGCGATTTGTCTCAGTGCACTTTTGGTCTCGTTTTTCCGGAACAGATTTGATGCTTTCTTCAAAAATTGCTCCTCATGCTTCTGATCTCCATGATCAACGTCCCATTTTAACAAATTTTGAAGCATCTCATTTTCCAAAATCTTTTCAACTGTCCGATTTATGGACTCCTTGAAGCGCTCTTCCGCTTTGGCCAATATTGTTTTCCCGATCGTGAATTCAGCCAAATGCATTCCCAGTTCTTTCACAACTCCCTCCNTTTCACACCCTCTTTCGATAGGCCTGTGGCACCCCGAACAAACAGTTTCGGTGTTTGTTTTGCCATATCCACGGAGGTTTTCGCACAGTCTTTGATTGCTTTAAAACCAGCACAGATCACGGTAACAGCCAAACTGATTGCTTTGTTAATGGCCCAAGCTTTCCAGTCAATCTCACGATTGATTATACCATCCCTTACGGCCGTAATCAAGTCACATACGCCCTCGGTAATTAATCCTATACCTATGTTACTACCAGCACCCATGGTGAATACCGTGAGGGCGGCTCCTATAGCTATTTGACAGAACCCAATTGCAGCCAAAGCCATCACCGATTTCCATGGTATGCGATTTTTATTCATGATAGTGAACGCTCCTATAGTGCCATTTGTTTCAAGTTCATCGATAACTTCAGTATGTTCATTGCGATCATCTTCAGTGGGGATTGATTGCTTCAAGGTTTGCAGTTTCGTTTCCAAAATGAGATCTTCATGGGCCCACTCATTTATCACGTGTTTAGATTCAGTCACTGAATCTATGGAGTTAATTAGCACTTGTAAAAGGTTGTATTTGCGCACAAAATGCATCGACTTCTTTTCAGAATTTTGAATCCCGGCCATGTACTGTATCTCCGACAGACGGGATTGGAGCTTTTCTTTTGCTTTGCCCAAATCTTTTAACGCTTCGTCAACTTTCTTCATATTATTTTTTAAATTCTTTCCGTAAAATGTGAGCTTTGCGTAGCCCCTGTTGAAGTAAGCATTTTCGCTAAACTCCTCATCCAACGAGATAGCCGATGTGTACTCGTTTATGGCTTCCTCATATTTACCCTCTTGTAAAAGCTCATTTCCCTTCAGCACGTGATAATACGGATTACGAATAAGAAGCCCCTTTTCCTTATCCGCTAGAATTTCGTCCTTGAATTTCGCGAAATTACGCTCGATTGCCTCTCCACTGTCAGTCCGATTGCAGTCCTGAAATTTCAACCAAATGGCAAACCTCTCTTTTATGGCAGCACATTGATGACGGCAATTGATATCGTTCAGTATGGAACAGTATTGTTGGAAGGCCTTGTCCATGGCCACTAGCTTTTTCACTTCCTGTTGGTTTCTGTTCAGTTGTTTCGCATTGGCCGCATCTCTTTTGGATCGCAGTTTTCCCATAGTTGTTATTCCTTCGGAATTAAGTACGATCAATTGACTTGTTCCACTATTTCCAGTTCTTGAGGTTCGCCCCACATTCTGTCTCTCGACTCTTTCATTTTGTGGTAAAAATGTGATGCAAACGTGCATACCGCCATGACTTTCCACTTCGTCTGACGGTTTAATATCTGCACCTCGACCAGCTATATTGGTCGCTACAATAAGCTCACCAGATTGTAAAGCCTGTTGGATCACACCCGAATCCGTCCCGGACGTGTACACTTTGATCTTCTCGTCTTTCAATCCGAGTTCCAGGAAACGCTGTCTGAACTCATGGCACACATTTATGTATTCGTTAATTAATAGTACACCTCGTCCATTTTGAAGTTGAAGCAAACAGCTTCGTGTGACTGCATCTTTCCAGTCGGTGGGTGTTGTCTTCACCACTGGAGGTAGTTCATAATGTCGCCTTAGTCGAAATGGCGGAATAATGACCAAGTCAACGTGGTAACTGTTCTTGAGCATCTGCTGATACGCCAATCCACCAAGTGTGCCAGTCAATC